ATGCATTAAAAACCCAGTTCAGTGGCATTAAAGCTGCCATACTTACTGATCATCCATTTTCCAAGTTGAGTGGTTCATAGCCACTTAAAGTTCCTAACAAGAAAATTCAGTAGTGCAACAACTAACTGTGACCAGCCAATCACATGCAGGCTGAGTCTTAAACAAAAAGGTCTGGCTAATTTTAGCTGCTAGCAGTAATTAAAATATAGAGTTTTAAAAATAATTTTACACCCTGTATTAAAAACTTTAAACCCTGGGTGCAGACAAAGCAACTGAACCGAGAAGCTTTGAAAAATAATTTGTTTTTGTCCTAGTGACTAAAAGCAATAACAAAAGGAGAAGACTATAGGACTACAGCTGCTGTAGGAGTATGCAATACTTTATTTGGTCAACTGTTTTAATTTACCCAACTACATCTTGTATATAGACATATTAAATGATTTATAAATCTCTNTGATGCCCATTTCAAACCCATATTTTGATTTAATAGGCCACGTTATAACTTCAAGGGGGAAAAAAAATGACAGGAAGCAATACTAAAAATGTTTGAATTATCATTTGGAGATGTAGGTTTTGGGTTGAAAGGTCCACTTACATCTTCTGAAATTAAACAACTTACATGCAATTATATTTATGAGTGTTTACTAGGAAGCATAATGAATATATAAAGTACAAAACTAAATTTGATTTATTTACTTCTTAGCTCTTTGAGGACTATTACACTTTTAAAAGTCACGAGATACAGCATCGAGCAGAAAAGAAATCTGAGTCACTTGAGATTGACAGTAAGCTAGATTTGGATCAAAAGGTTAGAATTTCAAAAAGTTTTGTTTGATTTTGTATGTAGATACCATCCAAAAATTATAAATTTCCTTTATTGTAAATTCTAATTTACAGTTTATGTCCTAATAGTTTCTTTTTTAATAGGTTGAATGGTTTATGCAGCAGAAGGAAAAAGAATATCAACTACTGTCTACAGTTATCAGAGACCCTTTACTTAAGGAACAGTGGTATATTGTGAGTTGCCCATTTTATCTACTTTTAAAGAGTAGTTTGACACACAGTAGTTACTGATGACCATTGCCTAATGTTAACTTGCTAATGGATGTACATATGTACATTGTAACATTATACTTC